GTTAATGAAGCAGCCTTTCGAATTGCCGTGTACCATCCTGCTGCTATATTTCACAAGCGAGACCTCGCCGTGCTTGCTCGAATGGCAGTACGTGTGGCCGGCTTCGAGTTTCCAGGCTCGCGGTCGGGCTACCTGCCGTCGCATTTGTCATCATCGGACGAATTCGTCGAGGAGTCAGAAGAAAGCCAACAATCACTCAGACCGTCATTGGCTGCCCCTGCCAGTGCCTCAATGTTGTTGCAAAAATCTGGGTATGTTTTAGCTCGCTTTTTTTTTGATAACAAACATAATTTAGACTTCTGGCACCACGACGAGATTCCCTGAAACCAAAGGTAACCCCTAAAATTGTTGTACGAACTCGCCATTATTTAGCTCACGTCCCATGAGTGTGCGGTGATTGCGAGAACTGCACAGGACATGGCTCATGAACTCCCCAACTTTCCTCTCAAGAGCCGTGAACAGTGCAGTCTTGTGGAAAACTTTGTCTACACCGACGCCATCCGTCTAATGAACATCAGTCCGGTACTCTGGTATATTTTCAGATGACCTTATCTATTCGTTAATGTAGGAGCGATTAGATGAAGAAATGGATTTTATTCGTGAGGTTAGCGTTATTCATGGACGCTATCAAAGCGGTCCCCGGATGCCTTCTCCTCGACTCTCCCCCTACGAACTGGGTATGAATGAGGCTGCTGCCTGCCTGGTTAGGCTACGCCCGACTCTCCTCACCCACACCCTCCATCTGATCGAATGGTCCCGTCGCGTCCTTACAATGAGTGGCTTACAACTGTCCCGCATACCAGCCCCTGCTTCACCCTCAAACGCTTCTAGCACCCATCAAGGTTCAGGGTAAGTAAACGTTTGATTCTCGTGACATTTGATGTTTTAAGAAACGCTTAATAAGCATGACCCTCCACGCACACTACCCACCATAAAAACCGTGTTTTCTCCTCATTGGGAACCTTCGAGGCATCACATTTTAACGCAACCAATTTATTATAATGAGGAATGCGCAGATTTGCCGTGGGGATGGATTTCCCAGCGTCGGCCTCGCCCTCCTCCGAGTCCGTTACTCATCTGATGATGCGATTGGGGGCAGCAGCTGATAGAGTTAGACTGTCTACGCGTGCTACACGCAGACTGGTTGATACTTCACTTACCAGGATACACCAATACCATGCTTCCCATTTACATAAGACGTATGGGTTCTGACGTGTTGTTGCCTTCGCCATAGTGGCGACGGTCAACCGTGTCGCGTGTTTGCTTTCGGGATGTTATACTACAGGGAAACAGTTGCGTCTATGTTCTAGGCGTGTTTTGACTTGTGGGACCGGGGGTGGTAACGGGTTTTAGACTGCGGTGTTTTTACCGCAAATTTTCATGGTGGCCCGCATATGACCAAGTAGGCGCAGGTGGGA